AAATAAAGATAAAAATTATGAACAACAAATACGTAACAAGTGAATCTGAAAACCAAGGAAATTAAAAAAAAATCTGGTAAACAATATTAACTGGTGAATATAATAGAATCAGAGGTATGGAAAGGGAGTGAACTGACGATTCTTGGGGAAAAGGGGAGAAGAGGATGTGGGAAGAGACTGAACATAAACTGTGCACCTATGGATGAGGACAGTGGAGGGTGGGGAAAGGGCAGAGGGTGGGATGGGAACCTGGTGGAGGAGAGCGGGGGCGGAAGGAACATTTGTAATAATATGAACAATAAAAAATTTTTAAAAAAATAAAAACAAAAAACAAATTATGGTATTCTGCATTATAAATTACTAAAGGCCAGGTGCACGGATTCGTGCACTGGTGGGGTCCCTCAGTCTGGCCTTCCCCTCTCGCAATCCAGGACCCCTCGGGGGATGTCCGATTAATGGTTTCAGTCCGATCCCCACAGGTCAGGCCAAGGGACCCCACTGGTGCACTATTCTGTGCACCGGGACTCTAGTATGCCTATAAGATCTTTGTTTAACCTCTTCCTTCCCTCCTTCCTTCTGAGACTCATCAGTCTGTTCCATGTTTCCATGCCGCAGGTTGAGAATCTGCCCCCTGATGGTCAGTGCGCATCACAGTTACTAGTAAAATGGTCACAAACAATAGTTTTTAGACACTGGACACCAGGCAACCCATGACAGTGATCCCTAAGAGAATGCAAGCAAATGAGCAAGGCTGACAAGGGGCGTGTTTCTCAGCTGCAAAACAGGAGAGCAGAACTCCTGGTGAAATCTCACAGCACCCCTGAGTTGAAGAGACAAAGCTTGAAGTCCAGAGAAGCCAAGGAGGCTAGTCTCTGGGGGAAGGTGTGGAGGGGAAAGAGCTTCACAGGGAAGACCTCCAGAGATCTTCAGAAGATCCCCTCTTGAGGCTCAGATAAGTAACTGATCAGCTACCAGTTTGCAAAGCAACTACCCAAGGCCCAGGAAAAACTGCCTGAAAGGACCTGAGATCTCTCCAAGGTCAGGCATAGTCATATTTCCATCAGCCATAGTGAACAGCCTTCTATTTCACCAGGCAGTGGATAGAAAACATGGCCATCGTGTCAGCAGTAGGAAGAAATTGGCCCTAGACTGTACACTGCTCTAGTCCAGTCTCAAGAAGTTTCAAAAACAGATCTTATTAAGATACATCAATTTCCAAGAAACTGCGTTCCAAAACAAAAACTCAAGAATATTTCTGGAATGTAAAACTTGGCATCACTCAACAAAGAAAAACTCACAATGTGTTCCTCCATTCAAAAATTTTCTAGCATGCAAAAAAAAGCAGGACTATACCAACCTACATTGGGGGGAGAAATCAATCAATAGAATCAGACTGAGAAATGACACAGAGAATAGACTTAGTTTATAATTAACTTAAGTAGCTTAAAAAAAAAAAAAAAAAAAAAAAAAGGCCCTGCTTTCTTGGCTCTGCCATTCACAAAAGCAATGGACCTCAGTTGTATATTATATGTACATGATATAATATGTATCTGAATAATCAAATAATTGCAGGCTGCCAAAACATTATGAAACATAAAGCTAATCTAGAAACTTAGAAAAAAAACTTACTTTTAAACAGATGGGTCAAATCACTCATTCCAAAACACTAAAGGGCTAAGTGAAAGTGTGAAAGTGCTAGAAACCGACAACTGAAATTGAATAAAAAATGCACAGAGAACAGCTCTGAAATTCTAACACAGACCAATGGGGAAGGAGGACAATTTTCAATTTGAGCTCTTCAAATGCTAAGGATCATCTTATCCATTTTTGAGCCTGGTACACCCGGCAGGCATCTAGTAAATACTGAACAAATAAAAGCAGTAAAAATGCAACATTTCCAAAACACAGTTACATAATAAAATTCAATCATTCACAACTATACACTCCTTGCATAATTTGTAATACCTGGCATAATAAATATGCAAGGTATTATTTGCACAGTTGACTATAGCAAATTACCAGATTTTATTAAACTGAAAAGTACAGTCCAAGCCTCCTCCTGTGTCTTACTACATTTGTCCATGTTACCCACACCATCTTGTATTAAGATAATTCCTTAATTTAAAATCATTTCAGTCCTATTACCCAGAGAAACCTGATCACCCATATAATATTCCAAAGACATTTTATGTTTGGAATAAAGTTGAATGGCTCAGTAGCCCCGAACACATTATTTTCAATTTCAGACCTTAAACTAAGAGGTGTACTAAGGGGTCTGGGAGTGCACCTCTCCCACTGAATGACACCGGCCAGGGCCCAAATATCACTCAATAAAATAAAGAAACTTGAGAAAAGACTTGCAAGTAAATCAAAAAAATATTCCAAACTGACTGCCCTTTACCAATATTGGAACATACTAATAAACAAACTTTGAAACAAGAAGATGAGACTTATGAAAGGCTTCTTATGATGGGTATGAAAAGAATTTCTCTTAAGACAGTACTATCACTATGCTTGTATTAGGGGCTACTTCAGTTAGTTATAATTATCCTCCATTTATTCCAACTCTATTTAAGGGAGTCTTACTTCTTTGTAAACCCAGAACATGTTTAGAAAAACATGAATTAAAGAAATTTTAAATGATGACAAGATTTTAGAATAATAAAATTAAGAAAAGAAGTTTATAAATTTCAAGCTTCTTAACGTTAATTATATGCCATACACACTGATTAGTCAAACTAGTCAGAAATCAACATACATAGTGAATATATGACACTAGAGTCAAATCAGCAGAGTTTTTTCCAAGGTCCAACTAAGATGCCGGATTCTCTTCCAGTAGAGGGAGCAAAATCATAATATTCTACTCAGGCCACAGCAAAAAGGGGAAGGGAAGGTTTACAAGTACCTTTTAAAATCTACTTAGACATTTTAAAAAATGTAATAAAAATACAATTTGAAACAGAACTAAAATCAACCCAAAGGAAAAGATAAAGGCTTTATCTTCTTCAAACACTTCAAGGCTTTGAAATGAGAAAATGATCCCTAGATATTTAATTTCAAGAAATATTGCATATTTCATTGTTCACCAAATTTCACAGGTAACCAAGGTATTGAAATACTAAGAATCCTTATTTTTAAGAGATTACTGAAAAGATAAAATATTACATTAAATACATCTTCACAATATATGAATGTATTCACATGACAAGAACTATAAGAAACAAAAAAAAGTGTATTTCACTACCCTAAAACAATCTATTCTTTCCAATATTTTTTCACATTCATATTTTCATACTGTGATAAAAACATTTTATTAAGCACTCACTACATACTAGGCATGGTTCTAAGCACTGTTACATGTTCTATCTCTTATAGTCCTTACCAAAGCCCCATTAGATCCTATTCTTATTACTCATTTACAGATGAAGCAAGTGAATCACATAGAAATTATATAAATGGCTAAAAGTCACAAGTTATTAAGCAACAGGAGCCAAGATTCTAACCCAAGTAGTCTGGTAGCAAAGCCTATACTTTTTTCTTTTTCTTTCTTTCTTTTTTTTTTAATATATTTTTTATTGATTTCAGAGAGGAAGAGAGAGAGGGAGAGAGAGAGAAACATCAATGATGAGAGAGAATCATTGATCAGCTGCCTCCTGCACACCCGCTGGGGATTGAGCCTGCAACCTGGGCATGTGCCCTTGACTGGAATTGAACCCGAGACCCTTCAGTCCACAGGCCGATGCTCTACCCACTGAATCAGGTAGAGCCAGAGCTTGTAATCTTAACTACTTCACTGTGATTGTAATTTTGAATTATGCTTTTCCCCTGCTATTCACATATTCTTAGTGTCAGTCTTTAAAGTCTTTTTAATGCCTAATTGAAATCTGATATGGAGATGATAAATCATCTGCTGCTATCAGTTGTCCCTTATAGATATAGTAAGATAAATATCTTTGTGTACTTATAACTTTTCTATGTTTGGATTATTGTAATAAAGTATTTTGATACTCAATTATACTATTCAATTTCTTTCCAAAGTATTTGTATCAATGAACAAATATAAGTTCCAATTTCACTCTAAGTTTCAATTATTTAAGTTCCAATTTCACCATAAATTTGCCAACATTCAGCAATAACATTAAAAATATTTTTCTAATAGGTGAAAACAAAAGCATGCTGCAAACTAAATTATTAAAGGTGCATATTATTCTGAGTGTTTGCTAATTCAATTTCTCCTTTTGTGAATTTCAACTTATATGGTTTATCTAGTTATCAACTTAAAAGTTTGCGTATGGCCCAGCTAGTGTGGCTCAATAGTTAAGCACTGACCCATGAACCAAGAGTTTACCAGTTTGATTCCCTTGTCAGGGCACATGCCTGGACAGCAGGCTCAATCCCCAGTGGGGGGTGTGCAAGTGGCAGATGATCAATGTCTCTCTCTCTCATTGATGTTTCTTATCTCTCTCTCCCTTCCTCTCCCTCTAAAATCAATAAAACATATTAAAGTTTGCTTACCAATTTAGATGAATGTTTTGTAAGAATATTAACCCTATATCCATCATATGCAATAAAATGTTCCCAACCTATAGTTTTCCTTTTTAATGGTTATTAAGTTTTTATTTTTTTATAATAAATATTTTAGTTAAAGGCAATCATAGTTGAAAGTTACAAAAGAGGTCTTAAAACCTTATAATTTTCTAAATATAGGAGTCCATTGCTTTGGGCATATCAATGAAATTAATTTCAAATGTAACTCTGTTAAAGCAATAGAAAACTGTCAAAATCTGCATATTGACTTAATAGGACCTCGGTTAAATAGGAGTTTAACCAAGTTGGGTAACTCTGTTAAAGCAATAGAAAACTGTCAAAATCTGCATATTGACTTATTAGGACCTTGGTTAAATAGGAGTTTAACCAAGTTGGGTTATGTCTCATAAAATGAACATAGCGAGAAAGCCTAACCCAACCTTTCCCAAATTACCAAAATAAAAGCTTCATACCTGTCGCTGTAAACATAGGCGATTCCTGTCATGTAAATGCTGATGATTAGACAGTGATGAATGCCAGCTCCGAGCCTGAGAATGAAACTGAGTTTGAGCCATATCAGAAGGCCGTGCTACCAGATGTGAAGTAAAGTGCCGATCAAGGTCATGATCTAAAACATGACTTGAATTATCTTGCCCAAATGCTGACTCATCAAACTGGGGAAGGAGACCCTCCTGAAGGAGGTCCTCTGGATCCAGTCCTGTGAATGGCTCAGCTTGAGACTCCACTTGATGAAGTAAATTCTCTTCCAAAGATGAAAAGCCATTAGTTTCAACATGATCATTGAAATGGCCCATTTGCGTTCCTGAGTCAACAGGATCCTGGAAGTTCACGTGCACAGGCGATAATTTTGAATTGTTGTAATTACCCTGAGGATGTGATGAATGCAACATTTGGAAATTACTTGAATTCAGTGATGTATTGGGACTGAGCATATGCTGAGCAGATTCTTGCTTGATTCCCCTGTGAGGTGAAAAGGAATTACTTCCAGAAAAATCAGATAGCGTCTGATTTGTATGATTGGGTGCAAGAACTGCAGAGGACTGGAGAAGACTGTTTGGTGACACGTGATTACTAGAAAAGGAATAATGTGAAGAAAACTGCTGAGAGTTACTGACAGAACAAGAAGTCATATTTGGAGAAGGTTCATTAAAATTGCCTTCTTGCCGGTTGCTACACTTGAGAAAGTGTACTGAAGGATTTGATGTTTGAGAAAACTGTTGCATCAAGAGAGACTGTTGTGAAGTAGATGCATTGGTAATCTGTGGTGGGTGGTTGACACTGACTCTGTGTGGACCAGAAACATTAACATCCATAAAATTTTTAGACTGGCCGAGAGAATTTTGCCCTGGGTTAAGATTATTCCTGTTTTGTTGCGAGCGCAGTGAAGTGCACTGTGTGTGTTGTTCATTGGCCTGAAATAAGGCAAAGTCATGGTGTGCCACAAAGCTTTTGTTTTGATGCATAGAGTGAGAATGTCCTTGTTGGTGAAAAGGAGACCCATTCTGGTTTGAAATGCTAGTAGCCGTCTGATGGCCCCACATTGGACTGCCATCTGCTACATCTGGAAATAAACCATTGGGTTGGTTTTGGGGGTGGATCGGAGAGCAATTAAACTGAGAGTGTGGAGATAACACATGTTCAGCTGGGCTACCAAAAGACTGATTAACCTGATGAAATTTCATTGAATCAAACTGACTTAATTGTTCATAATCCGTCATCTTCTGATGCGTTGGAGTACCTTGAACATGGTTCAATGAGTCTATGTGCAAAGGTTCAAATTCTACACCCAAGTTCAATTCATCAACTAGGGAAACAGGTCCTGGTTGTACAAATGCATCATCTGACAAACCTTCTAAAGTCTCACTAAAAAGATTGGCATCATCAAAAAAGTCCATCATTGGATCTGTCATCTTGAAAAATTCAGTAACAATCTGGGTTGTTTGTTCCAAATGAAGTATATTCCACTTCTCTGTAGTAGATATTATTGGATCATTTTCAAAGGTCATCGACTAATCCGAAACAGGCCAATGTTGATTACTGCTCTAGGTAATGACATGTCATGAAATGTCAGAATCCTAGAAAAATAAAAACAAAAGCAATTAAAGTTTAATAATGAGTACTCATTAAAGTTCTATAAGGTTTACATATGATTTAAAAACATAAAACCTCAGTACAGTATTGACTGATAGAATACTTTATTGCAAATAGCTCATTAATATTCTATATAAGAAAAAAATGCTGGTAAAGAAGACATGACAATATGCACTTAAAAGTAATAATTCATACTACCTCATTTTGAAGTTCACATATTGTAAGAGAATGTAAACTTGAGAATGGTATGTCAGACTCTCTCCCACACCATGAAATGGCCATCATTCCCTAAATAAATATATATGTATTATACTTTAAAGTTACGTCTTTTTAAGAAAGCTGACATGGGATCCTCAAATTGATGTTTCACTCATTTTTAAAAAATGTTATAATGTAAAACAAAACCTCTTGATCGTTAATAGATACTCCATTATGATTCGGAAGCAATCTTTTAAGCAATATTTCATTTTTATTATTCTAAGAATGCCCTCACTAAACTGTGTACTTTAAAATCTAAATAGCTTTTTTTATGTTATATTTCACACACACACACACACACACACACACACACACACACACAAATAACTGTGATACAATTTAAAGTTTAATTCCATTATCTCTCAAAGAATCCTCCTTTCACTGATAATTCCTTCTACAAGGGGCCTTACAAGCATAGCTGTTAAAAGTATTGACTTTGCAAATATCATGGTTAGGTTGGAATCCTGGCTTCATCACTGATTCACTATGTAATCTTACACAAGTCACATTTCGTAGTTACGTCCATCTCCATCTCCCATTTATTTATATAAAAAACAGTTCCATCATATGTGCTTTGTGATTTTTATGATTTATTTACCACAAGGTCAGGAATTATCTTTCTTTTAAATGTTTTTACTGTTTCACTTAATCACTGTTGTGCATGTGCTCCATGTTAGTGACGTGGGTGCTTATGTAGGTGGGTTCCGACTTATGGCGAAAAACACATTATGTCACGCCATAGGAACATAATGGCTGCCAGAACCTGCCCCGCCTCTCCCCACTCCGACCTCCGATGTAACCCAAGGGCCCAGTATATTTTGTTTGTTTCTCCCAAAGCCTTTAAGCCTACCTTCCCCATTCTCTGCCAAGCCCCATTTTGCCTCACTGTTTTCTGAGGTTTTCCAGTTGAAATTCACCAATCACCTTTTCAGAACCATGTACGTTTTTGTTCTTTGTGTCTATCCCTTGTTTTCTTCTAGCTATTCTCAGAAGGTGAAGCGTGACTCTTCTCCAAAGGCAAATCTTTCACCTCTTAATGGCATCCCATTGAGACTTCGAATGGATTTATACTCACATATTCCATCTCTCTCAAGAATAATCATCCTCTTGCATTTGCCTGCTTCCCTTCTAACTTTGGGCAGCAGCAGACCTCCCCTACCTTAACAAAAATGTACAAACAAAATCATTTTATTCCTACTCTTCCAATCAAAGACAAATATTGAAAATAAGTGATCCTCTGGCTCCATTTTCCAACTATCCATTTGCCTGTTTGTTACCTCTTGCACTTAGTTTGACTCCATAAAATCACTGCAACTATACTTTAGAATATGATTAAAACAGTTATTGTAACAAAGGGCGTTGGTTTGAAATCTGACTAAAAATCTGGACATTCTAAATATTCCCTCAATTCCCGTCTTTGACCACTAAGAAACACCATTATTAAGCAAAGCAGATGCTAAACTCAAATGCTTCTATATGAAGCTTCCAATCGCCACGCACCCCCACATCATATACTATTTAGGTTTTGAGAGCTTAAAAGAACAAGGCGTATGACTTAATCTCAGGTCCACCTATCTTCCTGCTTGGTCCATATTAAAGCTGTTTAACTGTTTTCTGAACTCAGTTCTATTAACCACTCTCTTTTGGATATTCTCTTAGCTTTACTACACCATCTTTGACTTGCTTTCCTAAGCTTTTCCTGCTTATTAAAAACTAGAGGCCCGAGGCACAAAATTTGTGCAAGGGGCTCGGCCCTCGCAGCCACAGTGGCTCGCCCCGGCTTCCTCTGGAAGGTCGTCCAGCTGTCCGGTCTAATTAGCACATTATGCTTTTATTATTACAGTTTGATAGATACCAGTTTCTATGCAGTGATTCCATTTCTATCAAATCCACTTACTTAGAACTTCAAATTTAGTCAAATGCTGACACATCTTCCACAACATACTACTCTCTAAAACGTGACTTAACATTCAAATCCTTGAGAAACCCAATTCCACTTTTCTGTTAATTACTCCTTTATCTTTGTCTCACTACTGGCATAAAATAAAGGCATAAAACCCAATTTCCCCACTACTTTTTTTTTTTAATAGATTTTATTGATTTTGTACAGAGAGGAAGGGAAAGAGATAGAGTTAAAAACATGGATGAAAGAGAGTTATTGATCAGCTGCCCCTTGCACACCCCCCACCGGGGATATGCCCACAACCAAGGTACATGCCCTTGACCGGAATCGAACCTGGGACCTTTCAGTCCCCAAGCTGACGCTCTATCCACTGAGCCAAACTGGTTTCGGCAATTTCCCCACTACTTTAACAAGACCATACCATATAGCATCTCGCTGCCCTCCTTGAAGTTTCTGATCAACAGCATATATCCAGTTCAAGAAGATGTCTTTGATAAAGTTATTGATATGCATTTTTTTCATTCTTCCCAATCCATACCTCCTAAAATAGTGTACTATTCACTCTATTTTTAAAACCATACAATTTAAGGATCAAGAAAATACAGTGTGTAGATAGCGCCTGGGAAGGCACAAAGGCATTCTTCCTTAATAATTGCCAGCTGAACTCAAGGTGACAGGCAAAACCACATCTTGGTTACACAGCTTACCAAAAAGACAGATGAGTTCTCAGCACTGACTCTTATCTTTGCCCAGGTGTCAGGCAGTGGGTTTTGATATGTAAATCCAGTCAAACATCAGGAATGAATAGGACTCAGGCCTACTCAAGAATGCAAATAATCTCTTTTGTCTTGACTTTTGGTGAAACTTCCTAGTATTTTGGGGGTATAAAATAAACACTGCATCAGTTCTGGGTCACTGTCTCTCCATCAGAAAGGGGCAGGTTCACCAGGTCCCAGCTTTTCTATCTCTGTGTCTAGTCTCTTTTCTTTATTTCTCAATCCCCAGCCGCCTCTACTCAGTAATTGGACTCGCTCTCTAGCAGCGCTGGACGCGAAAGAGAGAGAAAATAGTTACAACAGTGTCTCTTATTTGACTATAACTTTGAGAATACAAAACATTTTATTATAATCTGCTATAATCCAACAGGCACAAACAACATGGGTATTCATTTTTGGACTGAAAATCTTTGTATATGCTCTTTCATATTCCTTTCTATTAGGTCTCATCCCTGTAGAAATATTTATCCATTATCAAATATTCTACTTTTAAAACTAAATATAAGAAGAAAAGATTTTTTAAAGATAGAGATCCTATATAATAAAAGCATAGTATGCAAATTACCCCCTCAGCTGAGAGTTGTCCTGGAGTTTGACTAGGGGGCAGGGCTGAAAGGGGGAAGGGAGGGAGGTGACATCAGGTGGCTAGGGGAGGGGGGGTAATCAGGCTGCCAGCCAGCAGCCACTAGGGACCCTATCACTAGGCAATTTTCGTGCACTGAGCCTCTAGTATTTTAATAAAACAACATAAATGAATGTAGAGGAATCAGCATTCTCAAACACTGCTAAAAGGAGTGTATACTAGAACAAATTTGGAAATCGATTTGGCATTATTGCTAAAGTTTACCATATGCAAATCTATGGCTAGCTTTTCTACTTGCAGTAAAATATACTCCATATTTCTTGAGTGTGCACCAATGGACAAGTACAGGAAGGTTCCTATTAGCATTCACAATAGCCCAAAACTGAAACCATGTCCATAATACTTTAGAATTAACAGTAATGAGAATGAGTTATTCCTGAATGGAAAAATATTAGTATCAGATATGATATAAAGCAGAAGAGAGCATGTAGCTTGATCGGTGTGGCTCAGTGGTTAAGTGTTGATTCATGCATCAGCTCTATTCCTGGTCAGGGCACATGTCCAGGTTGTAGGCTCGATCCCCAGTTGGGGTGCGCAGGAGGCAGCCACCTGATGTTTCTCTTTCATGGATATTTCTCTCTCTCCCTTGCCTTTCCTCTCAAAAATTTTTAAGAGCATACATATGATGCCATTTACATAAAGTTCAAAAACAGGGACACTATGGTTTTAGGAGTTAGCATAATGCTTACCTCTGGGAAGGCTGAAAGGGTGTGATAACTGGAAAGGGGCCTAAGGGGGTCTTGTGGGGTGCGAATAACAACATTCTATTCCTTGACATGGGTGGCTGTTTCAAAGATGTGTTTACTTTGTAATATGCCAGACAGCTATATTCTTACGACTTATACATGTTTCTGAATGTCCATTATAACTTAAATTTTGAAATACCTAACTGGAACAAGATGAAACATATAAATAAGAAAATATTTCTAAATCACCAATTAGAGTATATGTCACTCATAAAAACATTAATAAACAAATAGAGAATGGTTTCTGAAAATAATAAGTAAACTCTATATACTACTGGTTTCAACACACTTACTAAAGCAAAAATAATAGAGTAATCTTATATTTGGATATGCAGTGAATTCACTAAATTATGCACTCTGAAACAAAACATTCCCTAATACTAGAAACCTCCAGCAATTGTCTTTCTGTATGTTTCTTTATCAATAAAACAGACTAAAATAATTGCACCAAATCTATAATCTTCCATTCCTAGATTTGTTTTAGGTAAAGCCGCTCAGTTCCAGGAATAAAAGAAAAAATGTTAATGAATAGATATAAATTGCAATTTTAAAAACAAGCACTGCAAAGATAACATAACTAAAAAATATA